AGGGCCGGCCTTAGGCAATTAGGCGCCCTGTGCAAAAAGTCTTCACGGCGCCCCCCCCACCTCCCACCAAGTTGCCTGAATACAGTAACACACACAGGCACCGGGGACGTGTGTATCACGAGGCAAACAAGGCATCTGCCTTGGGCGCCACTTTGCAGGGGGCGGCAAAAAAAAGCATCCCTCCAAACCCCCAGGCAGATCCCTTGCTTGCCTCGCATCCTGGGGGGCTCAAGAGCTGACCGGCTGGCCACTTTTGAGCCCCCCCAAGGCTGGCAGCGGGCAGCGAAGGAGCATACTCACCTGAGCTCTTCCTGCTCAGCTTCCTCTGCGCCGCTTAATGAAGCCGGGAGCCAGAATATGACGTCAGTCCGGCTCCCGGCATCACTAAGCGCTGCTTACTCAGCCTGTGCGCCCCCTGCCTGCCTGCCCAGCAGCCACACTGGACTGCTGGTAAGAAATCCACTCCAGCTTTCCCAGGGAGGCTGGGTGGATTTAAAATAAATGTAAAAAATATTAGTTTGTGAGTGTTAGTGGAAATGTCTGTGTGTGTGTCTGTGAGTGTTTATTTTGAAGTGAATGTGTGTGTGTGTGTGTGTGTGTGTCTGTAAGTGTGTAATTGTGTGTGTCTGTAAGTGAATGTGTGTGTGTCTGTAAGTTGTGTGTGTCTGTAGTGAATGTGTGTGTTGGTCAGTGAGTGTATATGTGTCAGTCAGTGAGTGTGTATGTGTCAGTCAGTGAGTGTGTATGTGTCGTCAGTGAGTGTGTATGTGTCGTCAGTGAGTGTGTGTCGGTCAGTGAGTGTGTAGGTCAGTGAGTGTGTAGTGTGTGTGTCGGTCAGTGAGTGTGTGTCGGTCAGTGAGTGTGTGTCAGTGTGTATGTGTCGGTCAGTGGAGTCGTGCATCTTTCAGTGAGTGCTTGCGTCTGTCAGTGAGAGTGTGCATCTGTCAGTGTGTGTCCAAGTAATAGTGTATGTGTGTATGTCATTGTTTGTCAGTGTATATGAGAGTGTGTGTCTGTCAGTGAGTGTGCGTCTGTCAGTGAGTGAGCGTCTGTCAGTCAAAGTGCGGCCTTGACAGGAAGGGGTGGGGGAAATTTAAACTCGGTTACAGGCATGTACACACACACTCAGTTAAAGGCAGTCACACATACAGGCACAGGCACAAACAATGGCACAGCTACAGCGACACACACAGACAGACAGTCACATAGGCAGTCACACACACAGACAGACACACAGTAACACACACATAGACAGTTATACACACACAGGCAGGCAGTCACACAGATAGAAAGTCACACACACAGGCAGGCAGTCACACACAGACAGATAGTTACAGACAGACACACACAGGCAGGCAGGCAGTCACACACAAAGACAGACAGTCACACACACAGACAGACAGTCACACAGACAGACAGTCACACACACAGGCAGTCACATACATGGGCAGTCACATACATGGGCAGTCACACAGACAGACAGTCACACACACAGACAGTCACACACAGGCAGGCAGTCACACACAGAGACAGTCACACACACACACACAACAGGGACAGGCAGTCACACAGACAGTCACACACACACACAGACAGTCACACGCACACAGGCAGGCAGTCACACAGACAGACAGTCACACACACACACAGACAGACAGTCACACAAACAGGCAAACAGTCACACACACACACTTACCTCTTTCCAGTGGATGCAGTTGGCTGATGGGGAAGCATCTTTCCCTCTTCCTGTACAGCAGGGGCTTCGGGAGGTATTAGCCCCGTCTCCGCCTCTCGATAAGCCCCGCCTCCGCCGCTCGGTAAACCCCGCCCCCTCTGCCGCGATTTTTTTTTTTTTTTTTTAAATAGACCCGGGTGGAGAATAATTAATCCTCCAGCCAGGTACCTCTTTTAGCTCCCCTGCACTCCGGCCATGAGTGAGCTGTGTCGGCCACAGGGCGCCCCCTGTTCCATGGCGCCCTGTGCGGTCGCACAGCTCGCACACCCCTAAGGCCGGCCCTGATGACAAATCATGGCTTGAACTATCTTGCTTTGCATTTAATGCGTCTATCTCATATATTAGTTTCCCCTTTTACGTTGCATTACTGAAATAAATAAACTTTTGCATGATATTCTAATTTTTCAAGTATCCCCTGTACATGCTGTACTACAGAGTTTTTCAGATCATCCCACGACTTTCCAGACAGCACAGATCTTGCTACACCATACCTCAGTGGCGGCATCTACATACAAAAAGCCAATGACTATATAATAAACATGGTCAAGCACTTGATTCCATTATTATGGCATAAACCTAATTCACCATCTATGCAACTTTGGTTTTCCAGAATAGAGGGTGATGGAGGAGCTTATCTTTAGCTCATCTGACCGTATCCACAATTATACCTCAATCTGGGCCCAGTGGTTGACCTCAACTGAGTCCGCTGATTTTCAGGTACTTCTTACTAACCCTTAACATTTTTTTTTTAATCACGTTGTACTAGTATCTACAGTCCAGCATTGGTTCATAGCTGAGTGTAGCTGACATGACTACGAGATTCACCTCTTCCTCCTTTTGTGTTACCTCGCCACCTGAACTCTGGTTTGTTTTACCCTATTCTTACTCACTGGCTTAATAACCTCATGTTCTTGTTGTTTATATTTATATGGTAGCTATCTTTCTTTTTTTATAACATTCATAATGGACCCTATAGTGTGTTAAATATATAAGAAGCATTTGGGAGTCCCAGGGTACAATATTTTTCATTAAGCCCTGCGGCTCCCAAATTGAGTTACTGTCTGATTATCTAAATAGAAACTTTTATCTTTTTTTTCTTTTATTGTTCCTTCTATGTTTTTATATTTTATTTTTTTATTCCCTTTAATAAAAAAAAATTTACAAAAAAATTATTAATTTAGTAGTGGAATAAAATATATTAGTACTTTGAGTATTGGATTGTAATACTATTAAAATTGGAATTCAACTTTTTACAAATCCTATCATTCCACCATTAAAATATAATTTAAAATATGATTTGGACACTGTGCCAGCTTGATTTAGATCTGATTGGAGAATAAATAATTAATATTTTGGTCGGAAGATAAGGGTAAAGCGTAATTTAACAGAAGAATGTTCTGTATAGAAATTACTACTAACCTAAAGGGGAACTGTCATATCTATGATCTAAGATTTGGCAAATGCCATCTCAATACAGTTAAGACAATGCAAAGTCAGAGCAAACATTGCTAATGAAGAGGAGAAATAGAAACATTGTCTCATTTCTCCTCTTCTCTGTATGCTTTCTCTATGTCAACTGCCAAGTATGAAGAACAAAGCTTATAACAATGATTGACAGATTGACAAGGAGCCGAGATGAAAGTTCTCAATTGCAGGATAAAGAGGTGTAGATTTCTAAATTTATTTACATTTTATTTTTCACACCCCAAATATATATATTATATATAAGTTAAATATAAGGAAAATTAAAATGCCTTCTCTAAGGGAAATAATATTTAAAAGGTACAAGAGAACATAGATCTACCTTGCGCCATAAGTGATTTTTAATGGTTTAAAAGGAAGAGTGAATTCATTCAATAAAACAACTCCATAATATAAAGGACAACATTGTATTTTACTTTTAAAAAAAATTATCATTTGAAATTAAAAGGAAGAATGTTTTCTACCCCTCCTGTCAATCAAATTAGATTACTTTACACCATTTTTTTCCAACTGCACATATTCCTTGTTTGAGAGTTTGATCTTAAAAGAATATTTCCACATACGTTCTCTTCCTCTAGGCATGTTCGCTGTGTAACAAAGGGAGTATCCTTATTAAATCACACAGTACTAAAATGTTCCTTCAATTCGCCCACATGCAATACAGTTGAAACAAATCATAAGAATACCCTCTTAAAAAATAATTGAGATACATGTAATCATTAACCTTGAAACAGCTTGGGAATCAGTTAATGAATCAAATCAATACTTTCTCCACTGATCCACAATAATTTGATATAAATGGAAAATATAATATTAGCTGTACGAGAGGTTAGCATGGCCTGTAATTAGCTAGCCTCAAGGAGATTATGTTACCTAGTTACCTCAGTAAGGCTGCAATTTTCATATATCTATTCTGGAGATTGCTAGAATGTTATCAGGTGTTAGAAAATGGACTGGGCAAAAGAGAGCTTGTGGATTTCGTAAATAACACACTATTTTGAAATTGCAATGGGTCAACTTTTGTCATATTTACTAGTAAAACATTGTGTTCTATTCATTTGATCTGTATGGTAAAATTAACATACATTCTTTTCTATATGTCGAGGGATATAAAGGGTAACTACAATGATGTCTATTTACAAACCTAGTGACTCTCAGCATTAGTAAAGTTCATAACTATAAACAAAATGTAAATTAAATTAAACCTTTTGTTTTACAATGTAATTAAATGAAAACATTATACCAAGCTAGATTATTTTAAAGCATTTAACTTGAAAACTAAACAATTTATTAAATAAGGTGATGGCATTGCTCATCAAGATAAGGACACTATAGACTGTAAGCTCATTTGAGCAGGACCCTCTTCAACCCTTCTTTTATGTAAGTTTTCTTGTAATTGTCCTATTTATAGTCAAATTCCCCCTCTAATAATATTGTAAAGTGCTACGGAATCTGTTGGCGCTATATAAATTGCAATTATAATAATAATGATATTTTCTTGTTTTCTTCATGTTGATTTAGATAGGGCTTCTTTTAGGAAAAAGAACATTGTTCTTTCACTGTTCCTACAGTGAGAGATGATAAGCTCTGATGCTTAAGTTTAAAGAGACATTAAACAGAGGGCATGGTTAGCAGCCGAATAGAGCGGACACATGGAGTGAGAGCTCCAGGTTGTGACTGACCCAAACTCTACAAAAAACCTTATCAGCAATTACCAAACAGCTCAGAATTTAATCCACATGCCGTCACCACTCCTATGGCACTGTCAAAACAGCTAAAAACTATGGATCCGATCCGCTCCACTAAAAAAGATCATCACAGGCCTAGCCAAGATGGCGATGATGGCATGGTACCCTCTCTCACATTGGAAAGCCAACCCGAGACTGAGGTGACACCAAGCCACTACTCAGATGCCCCTGTCAGCGAGAAATGGCTGTACACAATGCTGCAAGACCTGTGGGCGACTATACACATGGAAATAAAACAAATTACCGTAGAGTTGAAACGGGAACTCTTCAAGCTCGGTGATTGAACGGATCGCCTGGAAGTGCACACGGAGGAACTTTGCATAGCACACAACAGCACAAAAGAGAAGCTTCAAAGTCTAGCAGACGAGCACATACAACTTAAGAGGAAGCTCACTGACATGAAGGATCACTTGAGGCACAACAATGTCAGGTTTCGAGGCATTCCGGACAGCGTGACACATGATGCCCTGCCTAACTTTATTAAAGGCCTCTGCAAGTAGTGCTGCCTGATCTGGGGGACGCGAAATGGCTGATGAATAGTTCCCACCAACACCCTTGTCCGCAACACTTTACCTCTGACACACCGCATGATGTGGTAGTAAGATTCCACTATTATAAGTCCAAGGACTCATTACTGTCTGCAGCACGGGAACTTCAGAAACTCCCAGAGCCCTATCAAGAGGTGCATCTCTTTGCAGACCTCTCAGTGCTTACTATGGACCGTTGGAGGGAATTCATCTTGGTTAAGAAAACACTACACAACCATGACATACAATACCTTTGGGCTTACACCACATAGATTCTCTTCTGGAGGAACAACAAAAAACACGTAATAGAAGAGCCAGAAGATGGAATGCAGCTACTCAGAGAATGGGGACTGTTCCGATCACCTGAATCTCCAATGCAAGCTCCCAAACCACAGAGAAGACTCTCGGGTGAATGGCAGATGGAAGGCTCACAGTGAAGAAATAAGTGAGCTGGAAATCTCTCCTTTACCACATGAAATTGTCGAAACTGCCAGATTCACCTTACCTGTTGCTAAGCTCACATCTGCCTGATCTGCTACTAAAATGCTTTGATAGCTATGCATATGCTCCCTATTATAAACTGAAAGCACCTAGGGTACCTGTAAGATTGAAACCCAGGGTCTTCCCATAACACGCTTCTGCCTAAAGCCAACTTACCTTGGCTACATAATATTCCATGAGGCCAAGTAAGCCTGGTATGGGACTGCAGTAAAACAAGTAGGCCCAAATTCCACATACAAACCACCCCGTATAGGTCAAAAAGTGTTTATTAGCCAAAACAGGCTAATGCCACCTACCCAGCCAAGAGTAGACCCTGTATGAATTTATCTTAGACTCGTACCACACCGAAAGGCATATACAAATTATTAAAATTGATGAAGAATATTCGACTTAAGAGTTCGACAAGTAAAGGTTTAGATCAGGCTTTGTTGCATAGTCTCGCACTATAAATTATGGTTGTTTAAAAGGTCGGTGCAAACGACTGCACTACATTTTGTACACCTCATTACCCCCAGTTGAGATTGCTTGCTAAGCATTATGCACAGGCTAGCAACTCAACTACAAATACAGTCCTTCTCCTAGGGAACTTTGTAAATACTTTGGTTTTTTATTTAAGTTCAAGTGTTTAAGTGTGTTTGGGTTTATCATGATCAGATGTACTTTTCATGCTTCTAGATTAGTGTACTACTTAATGACCTTCCTTACCCAGAAACTGTGGGTGCTTAACCCCTCCTCTGACCGAATGCAAGACCGCTACAAAAACACCCCCTCCCCGCTGGTTCAACAATTACTAGGCCATGATGTATACTATAAAGCCCTGGCTAATCACTAACAATGTCTAACTCCATGATTATATTTTCCCTTAATGTTAAGGTCCTCTACAGTCCCCATAAGCGGAGTCTGGCAGCACAAGTGATACTTAAATCAGGGGCAGCCATTGCATGCTTGCAGGAATCTTACTTTTGCAAGTGTAAAAACCCCCACGATTAACAGTGAAAAATGACACTCAGACATTCCATCCATTTTCCCCGACTAAATCAAACGAGGTTTCGATCTACTTCCACAATGATTGGGTATTTACCCCAGACAAACAACACACCAGCTGAGATGGACAGCTGCTTATACTGGTGGGCTTCTTGAATGGTCTTAAAGTAACAATAGCCTCCCTCTATTCCCTTAACAATAATCAAAAATCATTCCTTAGCTTCCCTCTTGGGAAAGTGGAGAGGTACAAACACGGCCATTTAATCCTTTGTGGCGACTTTAATTGCACAATTGACCCCCAGGTGGACATTCAAAGAATGCAGCATGGGGCCCCAAAAAGGTGTCACTGTCACTGAATCAACATATGTATCACCGTTTACATGTGCATGGTCTATATGGCGCTTGGAGGAGCCTCTATCCTGTGGTGAGGTACTATACCTTTTACTCCCCAGTTCATATGACATACTCGAGGATCGACCTGTGCCTCACTGACAAAAGCAACAACATATGCCTGATGTTTCCATTGGACCAATCACATGGTTGGACCACGCGCCGCTTACGGTAACCTTACATGTCCCGTTCCTGGCTCGTGGTAGAGGTACATGGTGATTGAATAAGGCCCTACTGGACCGTCTAGACAATGTAACTAAACTTAACACCCAACTTGCAAACTTCTTTAAAAAACACGAAACATGCACAACTTCTAGCACCACTCAATGGCTGGCACAAAAGGTGGTCATGCAAAGGTGCGCTCATCCAATTAGGCTTGATCTCCAAGCTCTCAGTCTAAGAATCTAGTTACAAAACCAATCCAATGAAATCCGTCCACAAACAAATAGAACAAATCCAACTCAAACTGCACTCCCTAGCTTTAAGCATGACAGAAACACATATGAGGTACCTCAAGCAGTCCCACTACATAGCTGGTAACAAAGCAGTAAACTACTCACTAGGAAACTAAAGCGGAACTACCTTCAGTCTAAAATCCCCTATATCATCTCCAAACAAGGAGACAAATTGTATAACCCTCAGGATATAGTGGAGGAACTCGACTCCTACAATGCCACCCTGTATCAACTCGGGAGCGACCCAGGCACACACCAACCCTCTGACGTTGATATATAATTCTTTTTTGACCAAACATTCCTGCCTACTATAACCACAGAGCAATATACGCCACTTGAGGCCCCCTTCACAGAGGAAGAAGTGCGTAAAGCACTTGCAACTCTACCAAAACACAAATCACTTGGCCCGAACGGACTATCAAATTAGTATCACAAATTTGAACCCATCTTAACACCACATCTCACCAGACTATTTAATTACATCAAATTGACAAGGGACATCCCTAAAGAAATGCAGGAAGCATATATAGTTAGGCTTCCAAAATCCAACAAACCTCCGGCCATATGCGCCAACCTGAGACCGATTTCCTTACTCAATGCCGACGTTAAACTTTATGTCAAACTGTTAGCTAATAGAATTAAACCACTCTTCCCTGCATTCATTTCGGAGGAACAAGCGGGAAAATCACATACCCCTGCTCCATAAACTCAAAATAGTATGTGAAGACTTAGAGGTGTCGTGGGTGGGTTGCATCAACTCAATAAAAATGATTATACTGCTGCACATACTATAGCTATTCCAAACGATACCTATAGCGTTATCTTCCCAACTGATTAAAAGGTTCCAATCCGCCATCAATGCCCACATATGGAAAAGGAAACCACCCCTATTATCCACTAAAAAACTAAGCTTCCACCATTCCAAGGGAGGTCTAGGTCTGACAGATATCCGCTTCTATTACCGGGCGTCACTGTTGGCACAGGGACTAAGGATTCTATGGGCCTCTGCTCGGGATCCGGCCCATATATGGTTAGCCTTTGAGGGTTCCTGCCTACATCCGTGTAACTTACTCCATGCCCTGTGGGCCAGCGCACCAGTTTCCACCGGAAAACTTATTTTGACAAGCACAAAATTTCTTCTGAACTCCTGAGCAAGAGCTTACCCTAAAGCAATGGCAGGATGCCTTCATTTTTAACAAAAAATCATCCAGAAGTCATTCATTATGGGAAGCCTACCGTAAAACTACAATGCCTTGGTATCTGGTGCCCTACAAGCTGTCTAGGATCTACAACACAGTATCCCCAGCATGCTGGAGATGCGGGACGGCATTGGGTACAATACAACATATATTCTTTGACTGCACAAGTCTAAAAAACTACAGATGCTCATTAGCAATGCCACTCACTCCCACTGACACCTGAGGGGTGTCTACTTCACATCTTACCCATGCCACAACCCACAGTAATCATTAATCTATTAACGGTTGCTAAGATAGCCATGGCTTCTCACTGGAAAAGTGCTGCGATCCCTTCCCTGGAGGAGGTTTAGAGGAGATTAGAAAATGTCTGTCTGAACAAATGTCCTTTAGGATGTGAGGTGCAGTGAAGCACCTTGAGGGACTGTGGCACAACTGGTTAAGGTACTGTGATATTGGCAGAGCCAGTTGTTATGCGAGTGGAGGTGGGCATTCCTCCGGAATTTTTCCCCGGAGACTTAACAACTGACTAACTGTTCTAATTAACACATTAAGAAGGTAAAAGAAGGTATATATTAACACATTAAAGAGGTATACCTAGGAGAAATGTACAAACTCCAACGTAGTGCACTGAATGTTGAACCCTCTGGTTCCTCTAATTATCTGTTACATGCTTCCCCTTCCCTTCTTTATTCTGTACCCAGCATACATAATACGTTGGTTGCATAAGCAAGGTCCCAATCCACATCATAAACACCGTCTCTAAACCCCATGCACAAGGTCAATGAATTATATGATATACCAAATATGACCGAATATTTGTTGAATTATATGATGTATCGTTTACAACTGCATAATTGTTGCTAAGGATGTCAAACAATGTAATCTGTCACACTACTTTCTCTGTTAACAATGCACAACCATGATGTTATTGCAAACATGTACAACTCTGAAAATACCAATAAAAACTAAATATGTCAAAAAAATAAAGAGACACTAAACAACATAACCACTACAACACACTGTAAAATAGAAATGAACAACATCAAGAATACATTTTTTGGAATTTGCACTGCAGAATAAAATAATAAAAATCACCTATGAGTTGTATTGACTTTTTATTTCAGTTGTCTTTTAAATGTATATGAATTACTACAGTGATTTTTTTTTTTTTAACAAAACATATTTGAACTTATAGGGGATTGATACACATAATATTAGAA